GAGCGGGTGGCTCCCGACACTGAGTGCAGCGGGCGGCTGGAACAGGGTGGGGGGGGGGGTGGACTCAGGCCTCATGGTGGGCCCCATTTTACAGATGGAAGAAACTGAGGTCTCCCCGGCCAGAGCCGCAGAGCTGGGATCCAATCCTGGGATCCCACCAGCTCCCCCACCCCATGTGGCGTGTCTGTCTCACTGGCTCGGTGCTCGCTGCAGAGAAGTCAATGGGGGGGGGGCCCACAGATGGGGAGGGGGTGCTGGCGGGACAACAGGGATTCAGCCTCAGCCAGCGCGGTTGAAATAGCACACGGAATTAGGAGCCGCAATTAACACGGCAGGGAAACACACACGCACACACACCCCTTCTTTTCAAGGTAGCCAGGCTGACTTCATTCTGGCCCGAGGAGCCGGGAAGCTGGCAGCCGCGGGGAGGGGGCCCCTGCGGGAACACAGGGGTGTTACCCAGGACTCCTGCCAGGAGCTGAGCGATTGAGGGGTCCTGAGCTGGGGCTGCTGGCCAAGGAGTTTGCATGTGCGGCCCTCCCTGACTCAGTGGCCCTGCTTTTCACCCCCGTCCCCCAGGCCACCCTCCCTTCCCCCGCCACAGACACACACACACACACACACACACACACACATACACACACTTGTGTCCATGTACCATCCCACTCTGTCACTGCTTGACCCACTCGGGAAACGTGTGCTAAGCACCTACTGAGCATGTCAGGCGCTGTGCTGTCGCCTGCCCCTCGGGCTTCCAGGAAATGAGAGCGGGAGCAGGGGCTTGGGGTGGGCCGAAGAATGGAAGCTCCCTGAGGCCTCGGTGCTTTGCCCCGAACCAGCACACACACTTCTTGGCGCTTACCTTTACCTGAGGACACGCCATGTCTGCGCCTCAGCTCCCCCGTCTGCAGAACGGTCCTCGCAGGGCACGGGGCCCAGGCAGCTGCAGAGAATCTGCCTATCGTCCCATGAATGGACATGCTCCTTTAAAGAGCCAGGTAGGAAGCGGAAATGGAGACCCCGAGGCCTGACCTGGGGGTACGCCATGCTTGGCCCGTTGTTCTTCGGGAGGTTTAGAAAATCTCAGGTCTGGCGGCGAGGTTGGTCAACCAGAAGGGGAATTTTTACTGAGCACCTACTAGGTGCTAGGAGCTCCAGCAGCATTTCCTGCGGTGCAGCAGTTGGCGAGGTAGGAATGGGGGGTCTCCCCGTTTTGTAGGGGGAAAGGCTGAGGCCCAGAAAGGCTCTTCCCGTGGCCAGGGTCAGTGACAGCCAGCACTCTGCTTCCGGAAGCCACCGGCTCTCTGCTGTCACAGTGGGGATGGCCTCCCCTCACCCCACTCTGCCCGTCCACCTGCACGGCCAGCGAGGAGGGTCTCACCTCCCGGCCTCTGCCCAGGGAGATCCGTTCTCCTCGCTCTTCTGCGGGCAGAGCAGCGGGCTGTGGGAACCGAGGGTTGATAATGTGATTCATTGTGTTTTCACTTGTGTTCACCCTGGGCCTGTCCCCACTGGTCAGGGAGATGCCCTGCTCCCCGCCCCCTTTCCTTTCCTTTTTTTTTTTTTAAAAAAAATATATATATTTTATTGGTTTTTCACAGGAAGGAAGGGAGAGAGATAGAGAGCTAGAAACATCAATGAGAGAGAAACATCGATCAGCTGCCTCTTGTACACCCCCTACTAGGGATGTGCCTGCAACCAAGGTACATGCCCTTGACCGGAATTGAACCTGGGATCCTTCAGTCCACAGACTGACGCCCTATCCACTGAGCCACACCAGTCAGGGCACCTGCCCCTTCCTCAGTGTCTTCTTGAGTTCCGCGTCGGCCTCCTCACGTCTGCGGCTGGTCACCCCCCACCAGCCACGGAATCACAGAGGAAGCCTGCAATCTCGCCACCACCCGTTAGGGCCTGCGTCCGAGGACAGGCCGCCGTCCGCGCAGCCTCCTGGCTCCGTGTACGTCCCCGTGACCTTCCCAGGACGAGGGCGGGCGTGGCTGGCGCCTCCCTGGGCGGGTCCAGCTGTGCTAGCCTGGAGCTGGGTGCTGGGACCAGGCTCGTGGCAGCATCCCGGGCCCTCCCGGCCCCTCCCACCAGTCATCGCCGCTGGCTGAGCCAGTCGGGGGCTGTAGGGGGGGGGAGGTGGCTGTGAGATTTCTTTCAGCTTTTGAGCCCCCTCTTCCCCCCTCAAAAAAAGTGTCCAAATTTCCCCTCCTCAGTTGGCCAGTGACCGGCGCCTTCGGCAGACGGAGGGTCTCGGGGGACAGGCTGCTGAGCTGGGGGCATCCGTGGGTTCCCGCGGGCCCCCGGCAGGGCCTCCTCAGGTCCCAGGGCCTCAGTTTCCCCACAGCCGTGTGTTTCCCCGTGCACCTCAATGCGTGCGTTGTCTGCGGCTCCGGGCCTGCCCGGTGACAGGAGCCTTCAGCCTGTGAATCACGGACCCGCTCGGGGTCCGGAGTGTGTCCATGAATATAGACGTGTGTGTGTGTGTGTGTGTGTGTGTGTGGTTATTTTTCATTTTTTCATTATTGGCTCCGTTGCACTTAAGTCACATTTTCCTACCCTCCGGTCCAAGCTCTAAAAGCACTTTGTGGTGTAAAACCTCCATCATCTGACCCGCTCCACCGAAATAAGCCCGCGCCCTGCCGTCATCGGCCTCGGAAGTGCCTGCCGTCATGCTGTGGGGCTGGGGGGGCCGTGATCTCCCCCCCCCCCCCGGGGCCCGGCCCGCGCCCCCTGGGGCCGCTCCGGTTTCAGGCTGTTATTACTGGAATGCCAGCCGCCCCGCGCCCAGCCCAGCCCACAGACCTGCTCTGTCTGCCCGGGCCTCGGGCCTCCGCTGAGCTCATCTCGTAGAAATATCGTTTTAAAAATAAATGCTGGTTCCATCCGCCTTCCCTCTCGCCTCCGCCTGGTCTCCTGGCCGCCTCCTCTGGCACCAGAGGGTCCGTGAAGGCTGCCCTCTCCCAGAGTCCTCCAGGGGCCGAGGGCCCTGCTGGCCGGCCACCCAGGGGTGCCTCCCAGGCAGGCTCAGGGGCCCTCTGGGGCTGCCCAGCATGTGGGGGCGCGTGAGAGCTCTGCAGGCAGACGGACTCGGCCCTGCCACGCACTTGCTGTGTGGCCTCGGACAAGTTATCGCCCTCTCTGGGCCACGGGGCTACATGAGTGAAGAGGTGCCCTCCCCCCAGGTGTACGGGTGGAGGTGGCATTGGTTCTCGTGGACAGCCTGAGGAAAATGCATTGAAGCTCTCTCGCAAAGCTGCTGTGAGCTGCTCTTCCTTCTCGTGCACACTCGATGGATTCTCTTTGGGCACCAGAGGCAGCTCACCGGTGGGTCAGAAAATGCTGAGGCCCACAGTCCCGACAGCCTCACAGCCACGTGAGGAATGCAGGGGTGGGCACATTCCGTGCCTGAGAGGCAGCCGCGTGGGGTTCAGAGACAGACTCCCCAGAGTTCTGTGTCCCCGTGCGGCCACGAGTCACTGTGGCTTAGACAAGTGACCTGGTGTCTCTGAACCTCCGTTTCCTTGGCTTGGGAATTCTACTCAGCTCATCAGGCTGCCCGGGGGCTCCGTGATGAGAGGCATGACACCCCCCCACCCCCAAACCCCCCAGTCCGTGCCCGGCACAGAGAAGGTGCTGTCAGCACTGTGTTTTGTGGTGGCCGTCATGTGGCAGGAAGTTCCGGAGTACAGACATTCAGGTGACTCTCATGAGCATGCCCTACTGTAGCAGTCCTTAATCGGGAGCAGTTTTGAGCTCCAGGGACATGTGACAATTCCTGGGGACATTTTGGTTGTCACAACAGGAGACGTTACTCCCGGCATCCTGTGGCGGAGGCCCGGGATGGGGCCACATGCCCTCCCACTCATGGACAGCCCCACAGCGACACATCCTGTCCCAAAGCACACAGAGCCCTGAGCCACCTCGCCCTCAGTGGAGCTTTCGGGTCGCCCCACCGGCCCTCCTCCTCTGCTGCCCTTGGCCTTGGCGGAATGTTGCATTTATTGGTATGATTATCTGATGGCTGCCCATCCCACGGGTAGCGTGCACGCTTGTGAGGGAGAGATCAGGGCACTGCTGCCTCTGCAGCCCACCCCAGCTCTGTCACGGGCAGCGCTGCGCCTGGACCTGTCAGACGCAGGTTCAAGTCCCAGGGTTGCCACTTGCTGGCTGTGTGACCTTGGGCCAGTGGTGCCACTTTTTTGAACCTCCTTTCCTTCCTCTGCAAACGGGATTGTAAATCGCTGATAAATTAGAGAAGACCACCGGCTGCAGGGTCCAACCGTACCAGGGTTAAAGTCTCAGCGCAGTTACCTCACTAAGCCTCAGTTTCCTCACCTGTGAAATGGGTCCACTGATCCCCTTCCTCAGAAGGTTAATACGGGAATTGAAGGAGCTGCTGCTGATTACTTCTATTATTATTACTAGAGGCCCAGTGCATAAAATTCATGCAAGGGGGTGTCCCTCAGCCCAGCCTAAACCCTCTCCAATCTGGAATCCCTCTCACAATCCAGGACTGCTGGTTCCTAACCGCTCACCTGCCTACCTGCCTGCCTTCCTAATTGCCCCTAACCACTTCTGCCTGCCAGCCTGATCACCCCCTAACCACTCCCCTGCCAGTCTGATTGGTGCCTAACTGCCTCCCCTGCGGGCCTGGTCCCTCCCAACTGCCCTCCTTGTAGGCCTGATTGCCCCCAACTGCCCTCCCCTGCCAGCCATCTTGTGGCGGCCATCTTTGACCACATGGGGGTGGCCATCTTGTGTGCTGGAGTGATGGTCAGTTTGCACATTACCTCTTTATTATATGGGATTATTAACTTCATCACCCAGTGAGTGGGCTTTTTGAGTCCTGAGTGTGTTCCAGACTCCACTGACTGCCGTGGGGTGAGCACAATGGGGCAGAGCGCCTGTGCTGGCTGAGCTCATTGTCTCGTGATGTGGACGGGGACTGGCCCGGCACCCCCTGCAGCGCTGACCTCTGGCCTCCCCGCTTTCAGATCTGTGCCATCATCGGCGGGACCTTCACGGTAGCTGGCATTCTGGACTCGTGTATCTTCACCGCCTCGGAGGCCTGGAAGAAGATCCAGCTGGGCAAGATGCACTGACCACCTGCCCGCCCGGCCGGCGAGGACCCTGGGTGATGCCAGCCCCGCCTCCAGCGCCCCGTCTCCCCTGCCCTCTGTCTGGCCCAGGATCTGGCTGCATCCCAAAGTGGGGGTGGGTGGGGGGAGGTAGCAGGTGGCTCATGGCTCTGAAGCTACCTCTCTTCCCCATGTTCAATGGTAGATGAATTACGCCAATGTCCTTTCCCCCGGGGACCCCCTAGACCAGAGTCAGCAAGGGGTGCTCGGGGATGTTGGGGACCACTCCTGGGAGGGCTGTGGTCCCTTCTCTCTTGTGGGACCAGCACCGATTCCTTGTGGACCAGCTCTCCGCCAGGCTTTGACAATCTCTCAGCCCCCTCTTGGACGCACGAATCCCTCGGTTTCCCCCACGGGCAGCCACCCGCAGGCCTGGACTCGGCTCTGGGCCAGGCTGCCCAAAGGTACCCCTACCTGGAGCCTTCAACGAAGGATGGTACTTCCCAGGCTGCCCCTGGGTGTGGCGCTGGAGGGGGAACCCTCGCTTCAGCCACACCCTCTGCTGCCTGGCCCAGAGGCCTCACCCCCACATCTCTCTCTCTCTCCTCCCGAGTCACTGGGCGGTGGCGGGTTCCCCTTCCTCCACACACCCCACCGACGTGCCTCAGCCCCCCGCTGTGTGACAGCAGCGTCTCAGGGTGGAGGGGCTGGTTGTGACTGGAATCACCCTTTGAGAACCAGACAGGGTTTGTGCACGGGGGCAGGCGGGGCGCCTCTTTCTCTGCAGCCCTAAAACAATCATGTTGCGGCCTCTCCCAGCGGCTGCCATCGGTCCCAAGGCCTTAGGAGGGGGAAGCAAAGCTGATCCTCCCCTCCCCCGTCTGGACGTCCACCTCCTGGCTCCAGAGGGACCCATGCCCAGGGCCCTCTCTGCAGCCTCAGGGTAGGCCTCTGGCCACTGAGCTTCCCAGGGGCTGGCCACACACCACGTTCCTGGTCCCTGGGGCGGTTCCATGGTCCCCCCCCACTTGGCTCCTGAGGTGGGTCCCTTCCCCCTCCTCCCCCCTCATCCTTCCCCTTCAGTCCTAAAAGGGAGGGCAGGGTCCAGACGCCCTCCCCTGGGAATTTCAGGTATGCCCTGTCCCGGGGAGACGCACTTGGCTTCCCATTTAGACCAAGATGGTTCGCATACTTCTGTGATGAAGGGGCGTGGGGGCAAGGAGCTGGAACTATCTGTAGAGAGAGCTCGCGTCTCTGCTGTTTGTAATCCTTGGCTCTGGATTCCAGGAGGACAGCTTCCCCGCTTGCGTATGCGTTGACTGATGTGTGTTCGGTTATTTCTGGTATCTCTGGCCACTTAGATGGATTTTTAATTTTTTTTTTTTTTTACATTCTGTTCCCCAGCAACAAAGAGGAGTCCCTGTAGGGGGAGGGCGGGGAGGGCGGGGACGTGTGTGGGGTGCACAGGCCTCGAAATTCCACTTCGATGATGCATTTAAAGAGACAAGACCCTTGAGGACGCAGGAGATGTCAGTTTCCTGCGGAAGACACACCTCAGACCCGTGATTACAAACAAACATCTCAAGGGGAAAAAATGTGTCCCCGCTCCTCGGGTTTGAATAGATTAAAGGGCTGATTTTCAGAAACGTTGCTGTGTGTTTCGTTCTACTCGATTGGGGCCGGCAGCCCGGGGGCACTGAGATCCACAGGACAGGAACGGGGAAATGCGGAAAGGACCTGTGAGGAGGGTCAGAGGTCACCCTCGGGACCCAGCGCTTCCTTTGTGGAGTCCCTTCAGGCCGTTCCCGGAATCTGCCCTGTGCTAGCCGCGTAGCCCCTGCCAGTGCCTCAGTCTCCCCAGTTGGAAATGAGGCTAAGAAGACCACAATCTTGTAAGAATGTGGCAGAAATTAAATCTATAATACGTGCAAGTCAGTTATCCCGGGTCAGAACGAGCTCATGTACGCAGGCACCTGGTACCTGGTGGCTTTTCAAACACGGTAGTAGATCCGTATCAGCTTTCCCAAGGGAATGCGATGTCCTACGAGCAGGGCTGGCATTGTCCCGTGGCTTCCAGCCGAGGGCGGCATAAAAGCAGGCATTGCATACAGTCTCCTTTCCCAAGGACCTGGCATCCCAGTTCATCCTCCAGCTCAGCAAAGGGAAACACCCTCATCAGCTCTGATAGAAACAGACCCTCATCAGCTCTGACAGAGGGACTTACCGGCTGTGCCGTCTGGCTGGCCAGCCCGCAGCGTCTCCACTGGGACAGTACGAACGTGGACACACACATCAGGGATGCGTATGGGAGCCGGCAGTCTGCAGGAAGGTCATCTTTGATGCTCCATCTCTCTCTTCCTGCTTGTCTGTTACTTGAATGGTAATGACACTCACAGCCAGTGCGGGGTGTGCAGGAGGCAACCGGTAGATGATTCTTGTCATTGATGTTTCTCTTTCTCTCCCTTCCTCTCTGAAACATACACTGAGTGGCCAGATGATGATGATCTTTGAACGCATAATAATCTGGCCACTCAGTGTATATCCTATATAATGAAAGGCTAATATGCAAATTGTCCCCTTGACCAGGAATTTGACCAGCAGGCAGGCCGGCCAACTGCCCATGTCCCCTCCCCCTGGCCAGGCTGGCCAGACCCTACCCATGCATGAATTCATGCACCAGGCCTCTAATACACACACACACACACACACACACACACACACACACACACACGAGTGGCCAGATTATTATGGGTTCAGAGATCACAATAAGCTGCCCACTCAGTGTAATGTGCAGCACTTTTCCCAGGTGACAACCTTAATGAGTATATATGCTGGGTCATGTTCACCCATCATTCCTATCTCATTCAGAACCTGCTTTCTCACCTGTCAAAGGGACAGCTCAGAGGCCTGTTTACAGATTAAATAAGGTAATGTCTGTAAAGCTGTTAGCACAACACCTGACAGTAAATGCTCAGCCTAATAAAATTAGCCTACACTAGTCATTCATTGAATAGACAGTAATTTCCATCAGTATTAAGTGCTTTCTTTGTGTCAAGCATTGTGCTAAGGGTTTGTTTAATCCCAACACCTAACCCATGAGGTAAATGCCATCAATATTCCCACTTCTCAGATGGGGAAAGCGAGTGGCCTTTCTGGAGGCGTTTGCGGAGGTTATAAAACAACAACAAAAACAGAGACCACAACCCGAGCTCCCCCGGGGGGGTGCAGCCCCTGTGTTCACATAAAACACAGAAAACTTGCGGTTTGTGTCATTTAGAGTTAATGGGGAGAGTGAATGCTAGGACAGTGAGTGCGAGGCCCGATTTAGGACTTCCTTGGAGATTAGGAACATCGATGACTGTAATTGAGCACTGTGTGCCAGACACTGCTCTACACACTGTAAACAAATCAACTCTAGCCCTCATAATAACTCCATGAGGCACTTACTAAGATCATTCCCATTTCACAGATGAGCAAACTGAGGCTCAGAAACATGGAGGCAGCTCCCCAAGGGCCAGCAACATGAAGAGGCACTTGGGTCAAGGTCTGACTTTACAACCCCAGCTTTCAAACAGGGCTAAAACATTGGGGTGTGTATGTGGTGGTGGTGGTGGAGGGGGGAGGGGAGTTTTGCAAAGCCGGGTGGTTGGTTATTCACGATCTTCAAGCATCTGATGGGGGGAGTGCTTGCTTTAAATTCAGATTTCCTGGCCCCAACTTACCCCAGTCTGGTTTTGCCGGACTGTGGTGGAGCATGAAAACCTGCGTTTTGAACAGGCTTCTTGATGATTTTAAGAAGCAAGTCAGCAGATTGCATTTGAAGCATCGTGACGTTAAAGGCACCTACCCCAGCAATATGCCTGGACAACTTCTGCAAAGGAAGAGTTTGGGGAAGAAAAAGACTATTGATGGTGCACTGTTAAAAGAACATCAAGCCCCACTGGCATGCCTCTGTGGTTGAGCTTCAGCCTATGAACCAATAAAAAACATAGTTAAACAGAAATAGAAGGACATCAATGAGCCTATATTGCAGGTCCTGCAAAAAAAAAAAATAAAATAAATAGGCTCCTTCTCCTCAGAGGCGCCGTTTCTTCGCGGTTCTCTGCAGGATCCATCCAGGGGTCCCTGGAAACGCGGCCCTGCGGTTCCACCCCAGTCCGCATGGGGCGCCATTCGGCTTCATGTCGAAGGAATGGGCACCGCTTTTTTTCTTTTTTTCTTTCTGCGCTTGCGCGGCCTGGAAGCCTCACTTCCTGCCGGGCGAGCGCACCCTCGGAGCACTTCCGGCGCCAAGGAGGTGAGTGGAGGGATGGGTGTTACTCTCGGACTGAGAAGCCCCCGCCGCATAGGACCCTCCCCACGGCCCGGACCCCCGGCTCCCCGGATGTCTCCGCGGGAGCCCAGCCGCATCCCTCCCACCCCACCCCTAGCCTCCGCTCTAGCCGCCTCCGGGCGCCCGGGCCTGCCTCCCCGCGACCCCGCCCATCTGCACGTGCCCCACCCACGCCCTGCTCAGTTTTTAAAAAATATATTTTAGCCGAAGCCGATTTGGCTCAGTGATGGAACGTCGGTCTGCGGACTGAAAGGTCCCGGGTTCGATTCCGGTCAAGGGCATGTACATTGGTTGCGGGCACATCCCTGATGGGGGTGTGCAAGAGGCAGCTGTGGATAATTCTCTCTCATCGATGTTTCTACTCTCTATCCCTCTCCCCTCCTCTCTGTAAAAAAACATATATAAATATATATAAAATATGTTTTATTGATTTTTTACAGAGAGGAGGGGAGAGGGATAGAGAGTAGAAACGTCGATGAGAGAGAAACATCAATCGGCCATCTCCCGCACACCTCCTACTGGGGATGTGCCAGCAACCAAGGTACATGCCCTTGACGGGAATCGAACCTGGGACCCTTCAGTCTGCAGTCCAACGCTCCATCACTGAGCCAAACCGGGTAGGGCGGAATGCAAGTGTTTTTTTAATGCATTTGCCAGCCAATAGAGGATAGGCAAACCAGAAAGATGCTGGTCATGTAACTTTTCCCAACCCGAATGAAGTTTCATTTCACTAAACTATCTTAATGGTGTCCTAGTCTCAGGAATCCGAGGGGTAGGCGGTTGGGTGGCAGAAAGAACCTAAGCTGCTGTTGTTGGGGGGGCCTCTGCTGTACACACTGATCGAGGTTATAAATCCTTCACACTTAAAAAAACAAAGGTTTGTTTGTTTTCTCACTCCTGAAAGGTGGTTATCACCAGGCCAAAACCACAAAGATCGGGAAAAAAATTCTTGAACGCAAAGCTAAATCTCAACAAGTTAGAAAAGAGAAAGGCAAATATAGGGAAGAACTTACTGAGAAAATGCAGGAATAAATGTTACCTGTTGTAAAACCAATGTCTTGCCGTAAGTTTTTCACCTGGTGTGTATTCCTTTAAAATTGTTCAAGCCCTAACCGGTGTGGCTCAGTGAATAGAGCCACAGCCTGCGGACTTGTGTCCCAGGTTCAATTCTGGTCAAGAGCATGCACCTTGGTTGCTGGTACGTCCCCAGTAGGGAGTGTGCAGGAGGCAGCTGATCGATGTTTCTAACTCTCTATCCCTCTCCCTTCCTCTCTGTAAAAAAATCAAAATATATTTAAAAAATAAAAATAAATAATAAAATCTTTCAAGCTGTCTCTGGAATATATTGTTTCCTGCCTGGTTTGTTATTGGTAAGTGGCTCTGTATAGTTATTGTTGCTGTTTGGGTTAATTTTATGAATAAAATTTGGAAATGTTTCTTAATTCAAGTAGACTTGGCATTGTTTTCTAGATAAAGTCCGTCTCACTAGCAATCCTGGTTGCCATCCTTTCGTATATTTAATCTGTGGAGCAGCAGAACAGCTGGTGGGATGGCCTGCTCCTGCTGGACCCTCACACTGACAGGTGTGGGGTGGACAGGAGAGGGCTGTGGCGTGATGCAGGGCTTCGTTCCACTCCGTGGCCATCATGATGTGAACTGAAATGCAAGCCCCAGTGAGCAGCTGGTGGCGTTTTGCACACCCATGTCACGCCTGACAGACTGCCCTGCAGCTCCTCTCCCTCGTGCTCCCACCGAACCAAATGGCCTGCAGCTGCCCTGCCCTCTGTCTTGACTTTGCAAGTGCCATGTCTATGTTACTAAAACGTCCCTCCTCTCTCCTAGCGCTAACTCGGAAAATAGATGGCCTGTAGGCAAAGATCAGCACCCAGATAGATTTTGTTTTGTCCTGTTGCTTTTCACGATTTTTAAAAATTAATTTCCAACATTTAAAACATAAGAGATCCATAGAGAAACCTAAGTCTGGTG